GAGGTGCTTGTATCTGATTGGCTTTTACTCAAAAGAGGTCACAGCTTACTGGTGACCCACTTGCAAACAGCTGTTTATATGGGTCGAGAGCGAGCTACATCGAGATCGGTTTGTCGTGGGTTACCCGCGACTGGTTATTCACATGAAGCCAGGCTCACGAGCCGATCGTCCACTCGCAAGCAACCTAAGGCATGTGAACACTGTATATGTTGCTGGCATCTTGGGTTAACATCTTGTAAACCTTCAGGTTTTGTTTTTGTACAATATACATAGACTCCTTAAACATCGATCAATTTTTCATTTGTATAAATACTCTAAACCTTGCATTTGCATATTTAGGAGTCTACAAAGTTGGGAGGGGGGGAGGAGAAGGTGCAATTAGAAAAAAAAGGTAGGGTACTAGCTGGGGGAATAATATGAAATGAGATGATTAAATACTTGAATGTAATTTCTTTTTCTAAAGGAAGCTTTCATAGTGGGGGTGTGATGCAAACTTTCTTCTTATACCATACTAGGTTTTCCGAGTGGTTATTGCGATACCCAATTCCACCCAATCGCAATCCACAATTGTGTGTGAAAGCTCACCAATAGTAGTTGATAAGTAATCAAGGCCTTTAGTAATATCGCAATTGTTACCCATTGCGATTAGTTGCTACAACCTATTACTTCCGATTACAACGGAATCCGATCGCAACAAATTCCAGAGGCACTGATTGGCTGAGGTCAGTCAACATAGGTCTAGCCATCGGAGGCCTTGTACCATTTGACATCCCATTCCAATATAAAGTTTTTTGTGTCAGATTTGGTCTGAATGAGCTCGTTGGTTCAGATTGGGAGTAATCAGTTTTGGAATACCACCAATTACATTGCAACCGGAATCTAGTCGATTAGGGTATAGCTCTGATACTGCCTCTCCTTTTTGTGCCTTGCATAGGTTTTCTTAACATTCTGTTTTATTCCGTTATTTCTGCTTTATGCTGTCTATTTATCGTGGTTCTAACAAATGCTGTGTGTCCTTTATCCTTTATGAGGACTGTATTGTTCAATTTGTCTTATTTTCATTTGACTGGTTCATAAAATAGACTTTGTCAACAAAATTAACGTAACCAGAGTGTGTTAATCAGTGTTAAGTTATCCACGTGTGACCAAAACTAACATGGCCGATTAGTGAGTTTAGCAACAAAATTTTCATTAATATAATTTAGATTAAATTTCAGAAAATAATATTATAATATTTGCCCACATGAAGTCAAAAAATAATTGTAGGCTAACAGAATTCAAAAACTGGATGAAAACATTTTGTCATGGAAAACCCATACTGTAACAATCTGAAGCAACCTTGATGACGCAGCGTGTATCGCGGTAACTATGCAGCCATTTTGCATTGTCGAGTATTTACCAGTTTTTTATTCGACTGGTCGCCTTCATTAAGTAGGATTTTACTACTGCGCAGGTGGGGGGGGGCGTGGTTTAACAAACAACGACCAGTCAAACACGACCAATATTAGGGATTGTCAATCAAAATAATGTTATTTGGATAGACAAATTATTTTTTTTAATTTTTGATCCTCTTTGTAGAGTCAGACAATGCTGCGGGGGGATTCCCCCTCTCCTATTATATTTAATACAAATAATTATAAGACGTAGGTTTGCGCATACACGTAATGAATGAATTAATAATGTCAACTTACAATCAGCTTAATTTGATAACCTAGAGGGATGTTCTGACAGGTTAATGATAATCAGTTGTGATTAATAATAGATATATCGTGATAAAATATTTTTTTTTATAACAATGCTCTTGTGCTGCCTCCTAAGTTTAAAACGTTATGCTCCAGCCATTTTTAAATGATGTGGAAACTTGTTGGTTGTATGTGACAAGTATAATTTATTAATCTTTGATTGCTTTGTAGTTTTTAATCATAAAAGCAATCTCCGACTGATCGTATGACCTAGTCAAATGAACTTTGCAAAATGGTGTTGGAAATCATGTCACCTCGTTCTCTGAACTTACAACTTTACCCCCCATTTACGACCCACTTGATTGAATCTACAAGAGCAGTCGTGCACATATTAAGATGTTTGTTAATACTGCTGGTTAGAGAGGATCATGAGCTAAGGTTGTTATTAATTTTGAGAATTACTTTTTTTTTGTCACTTAGCTGCCTCCTAACTAAGCTATCTGACTCTGGAGAGCAGTTCTCTGCCTTGCAAGTAGGTCAGGTACCTGCCTTGTAACTCAACTACTTACCTCGCAACCCCACATGCTACACAATCTTGCCTCAAGCATCTTAACTACCTGCCTTACAAGTAGCTCAACTTCCTGCCTCGCACAAGCACCCCATGCTACAGTACTTTACCTCTCAAGCATCTTTAACCACCTGCTTTGCAAAGACTACAACTAGGCAACAGGGGCCCCGGACTTACACCCCCACCAGTCTTTCGCTCCTGGGATTCGCTGGCTTTTACCTGAAATGTTCATACAGTACTCAATCACCACTTCCACCTCCTCATACAGATTTTAGATGTAGGAAAATCCTTACACCACCACTTGATGAACAGAAAAACTAAATTTCAAAATTTAAATATCCACATCTGCACTGACCTCTGGTGTTTGCAAAGTAGAATACAGACCTACAAATACCCTTCCCACCTGTTTCTCATTTAAAACCGATAATTGTTCTAAAACATTTGCAATATGTCTACATACTGTAGCCTATATTTTAATGAAAAATGAGTATGTAGATATGAAAGCCAATCAGAATGAAGTTATCGGGATGCTTACATTTATCAATTTTTTTTTATTAATGTTAATCGAACATGGTCTAAAGCTGATTATTTGGAACTATCAAAGTCATTTGGTATTTCTCTGTAGGGCTTATATATATTTATCTGCTTTCACTGGACTTAATGAACTTAATTTAAATCCCTTGTTATTACTACTATCTCATAATTGTTTTAAACAGATATCTATAATCAATTTGGCAAGGTTTTCTTTAAAAGTAGGTCTATTCCACATAATTTGCAATTAGAGAAAGGTAATAGTTGTGTACGAGAAGTTCCTACATTAACTTCTTAGGTGTGTTAGCTGCCACGAAATGTTATTATCGGAGATCAGAACGATTTAGATATGTCGCTTTAAATGACTACCATTGGAAGATTAGATAGCTGTAGACAGTGTTGGAATGAAGAGATGAAAACGAGATGATCGTCAATGACAAGCAGGGTTCTTCAGACGGCTCAACTCTAAGCAGACAACACGTTGCAACACAATTCAGTTACAAACGTGTAGAAGATTAGGGAATTCAAGGTGTTATGTTAGATGACTAGTTGTAATTAGAGGAGGTTAAGAGATAGACAGAGTGATAATGCAAGGATTAAACGGGATGAAAATGCGAGTTGTGAGATGCGTAAGGAGTTGAGTCAATGAGCGAATGTCAGTTTAAGATGTACTTCAACGTGTAAATCAAGAAAAATACTTGTATTTCCAGCCATCAAGGTGATATTTGAGGATGACCGCTTTAGTAATATGATTTTATTAGCACAAAATAACATTTGAGCAATAGGATTATAAGGATATTGCAGAATGCACTGAAAGATCCCATCTTCCTCACTTGACTGTCTCTGTGTTGTTAGTTGGTTTAGAGAATATGTTTTGGAGAAACGAGTTTATTGGGTTCAAAGGTATATGATCAGATGCACCAGTTTATCAAGTAAATTTTCAATAACAATAATATGAATTAAGCCTATTAAAGGTATATTATATTATATCGTATTGTATTTTCGGTTAGATGATTTATGCAAGCAATTTAAGAACTGTTTATTATATGCATCTCAGTGTGGTAGATTCAAGGAGGCCCACCGGCCTGGGCCCCCTAAATTTGTTAAAATTATTTTTTTAAATGGAGAAAAAGAAAATTTATGTCAGAGTATAATTTCTGGCCATCTAGTTGCCATAATCATAAATTTTCCATCTCAGCCCTAACCATGGTGGGGCTGACGTGAGGTGGTCAAGACCCGTCATCTGAGAAAGTCCCCCTGGGCCCCCTCTATTTAGAAGTCCTGGATCCACCACTACATCTATATCTGTTTATTGGCAAGAAAAATATTTTCTTAATTTTAATTATCAATTGAAAGGTAATAACATACAAAGTAGGCTGTTTAAATATTTAGTTTATTAGCTCAAAATTTATATATATTTTATATTATTTATTTATATTTAATTGTGAACTTAAAGTCAGGCTCCAGAGGAACAAATTTTTTTTGCTATGTTGTAGAACTGATTTTTCTAAGACAAAAAAAAGTTGTTTGACGAAAATCTGGGGAAAGGTGAATGAGATACAGATTTTTGAATATTTAAAAACTGGGGGAATAAGGTGTAAAAATGGGCAGTTACGCCCCTTTTTTCCCCCCAGTTTTTAAATATTCAAAAATCTGTATCTCATTCACCGTTCCCCAGTTTTTCGTCAAACAACTTTTTTCGGTCTTAGAAAAATCAGTTCTACAACATATCAAATTTTTTTTTTCCTCCGGAGCCTGAAACCGCGCACCAACTGCACTCGACGGTTGTCGGCTGAGGTAACTCTTCAGTGGAGAACGCAAGGCGTACAGTGGATCGTATTTAATGACAATTCGTTCAGACTGCCACCAACGATCAGCAAGTGGCGTTGCTTTTAACGTTCACAGGGAGCAGAGTTGCATTCGTAGTAGCTTACGACTCAGTGAGTGCCAGCCTTTAGCAACAAAAGTGAGATAGACCAGCACTTTTGAGGTAATCTTTAGTAGGGATTTTGACGCTCAATATTTCCCTTGAAATACTATACAAGAATCCAGGGCCATTTGCTTAGATCCCTAAACGTGTACAGTATATACTTTTTTTTTTTACAGTGCTCAGTTGTCAGAATCGTTTGTGATTGATTTCTCCATCTTTCTTAAGAATATCTTATAAAATAATTTCTAAACCATATCAAACTTATTTAAATTTTATACTTGTTTTTTAGAGTGCCACGGTTGGCCAGAAGAGTTCTCCGAGTCAGAGGTCGACGATATCAGTGATACAGAAACGATGTCATCATCTTATAGCAGAGAGAGTACTCAAAGCGAAATGCAGGTACTGAATGTAGAAAGAAATATAACTAGGTTGGGGGTCACTGAGTCAAGAAGCATCTCAACAGCTTTTGAATTGAAGTCAAATTTTACAATTTCAAAATGATTATTAAGAAATTTTTTTCACATTTTTAATAATAATAATAAACAGGCATTTATAATGCGCCGGTATCCGTCGAAGACGCTCATGTTTCATTGACAAGTCTGAGCTATAGGCCAAGATAAATAACCAAACAAAATAAATGAAAAACTTACTGAGTGTAGATAGAAATATAACTAGGTTAGAGGTCACTGAGTCAAGAAGCATCTCAACAGCTTTTGAATTGAAGTCAAATTTTACAATTTTTTTTTCCAAATGATTACTAAGAATTTTTTTTCACATTTTTAATAATAATAATAATAAACCTGCATTTATAATGCGCCGGTATCCGTCGAAGACGCTCATGGCTCTTTGACAAGTCTGAGCTATAGACCAAGATAAAAAACCAAACAAAATAAATGAAAAACTTAAAAAATAAATGCAAATGCCAAAACAATAGTGATAATTGGCACAGAAAAAACCGAAGATGACCAAGTGGACAGCGTCGCTATCACACAGGCACACGTTAAAAAATTCAGTTGCTACTATTAGATACTAATGATATTCATATGACTCATTAGGTTTAATTTTATATTATATTTCTCACTGATCTCAAAATACAAAAATTGTTTAAATATATTAATGTAAATAATATAAAAATAAAGAAATTGAATGGTAGAAGCGAGGGTGAGCCAATGGCCCACTTCATCAGTAAAGCTTACATTACCGATCATGGGCTTCACGTTTTGTTGGATGTGGGTGGTGGATGTGCGTTCTACCCACAGTCACAGGCAGGGTTTTCTACTTGACCTTTTTGGAATACTTTGTAAAGCTATATTTACGCTAGACACGATAACAACGCGATCAAAATGCGCTCAGTGTTAAAGTATATAAACGGCGCAATTATATGTCGTCGTGTCGTAATCGTTTCTAGTGTAAATGTAGTTTTATACACACTATTATTTTGTGCTTACTTTGTTACCACAAGAACGCAAGACCAATGGGCACTGCAGCCTATGTCACGTGACCTGCAAAAGTAGTGTAATGTTCCATTTCATTTATTTATTTGACCATATAAGCATAAAAAAAGCATAAATACAAGATAAAACATAACCATGGTAAGAGACAGCTGAAGCAAGTAAATTACTCAAGAGTGTCAGCTTCCCTGCATCTTGACCACAAAAACTACAGACTGGCTTTGCCTGCACAGGCAGTTGCTGAATGTGGAATGCTTATCCACATGTAAAATGTACACTGCTGGTGTTCATTACTGTATATTGTTTACACCTATTTGTACATTCTGCAAACTACTTTGGCTTGTACTTGCCTTCAAATATTATGTTTCTGGTTCCAATAACATTATTCTTCCAATAAACCCTCCACAGTATATTGAAAACATAGTTTAAAATTTGATTGACAATAATTAATTGATTCCTTTCATTCTCTAGACAATATTCAAGCAAGATGATGAGTGTGGCCAAGATTTAATACCAGCTCCTAAAACTAACCTAGGGCGGCAGAAGACGGTTTTAAGCCTTGCAGAGTTTTACGCCCCTACACCAGGCCCTGTTCCACCATTACTAAGAAGCATACCACATAGTTGTGAAAGTCCTAATCAAAACTTTAAAAAATCTGAGGACAGTGAGGAAGAAACGGTATTTCTCAATGCCGGTGATATCTTGGAATACCAAAGTGCAAGGCATTCAGTCATGATAGACAACACGAGCTGTTCAGACATGGTAGAAAGCATCATTATTGACAAGCCTGACAATTTGGAAGAATGTACGAATGTTGACGTGCTAAAATCAAACAGACCATCCCCGAGACAGTTAAGGAAACCAGTTCTTAGGCCTAAGCCACCGCTTATGTCACGTTCACAGACCTTTGCAGAAACAGTAAGTAACAGAGAGGTAAAGCAGTCACCAGTTCATGTAAGCAGGTCAGGTGTGGTTGACTTTAACTATGTAGATAGCTTTAGGTCATCTAAGAAAGCTGCAAAAAAGCCCGAACTAGGCTTAGCGATGGTTCATCTCCAAGGAAATGCAAAAGGAGACGTCATAAGTCTGCGTAATCATCCAGCTATGCATCAGCCTCCGAAGTTAACAAAGGCTCATACCATATATGGACGATATAAAATGTCACAACGTGCTGGATCTCATGGCGTTAAAAAAAATTCTCCAATATTTGACCGTCAAAAGTTTACCTCTGACCCAAAACCAAGTCAGCAAGTGAAGAAAGCTTCTCAGTCAGGCTCATTTTTTGAACTTTCACCTCAAGCGTCGAGGACTGGTAAGGCCTTCATGCCGAGAAAGCCACTGAGTTTGACTAGGAAACCTGTATTCTCTTCTGCTTCTTCATGGAAATCCCGTACAAAACCTGGAACATGGGTAGTTGGTGAAGCAGTGAGAAAAAAAGAAGACAAAAACTGAAAAAAAAAAACAAATGAAATACCGTAATTATTCGATTAATCGCCCCAAGGCGTTTATTGCCGGGACAGGGTATTTGTTGGGGGGGGTGTTTTTTCGAGGGAGGCGTTTATTCGTGGGAGGTGTTTATATTTTTTTTGCTGTAAAATGGATATATTTGTGCTCAAATAAACGCCCCTTCATTTTACTGTAAACATGCAACTACAACCCATAATTATGGTCAAAATGTTATGCGTTATCATAAATACCTAAAAATCATTTCATCGAAAAAAAATGTAATTTTACTTAAGTAGAACATGAATAGAATGTGTTGAGAATGATGTCGCTTCCATTAGATTTGTTTACTGTCATTTGTGGGGGAATTTATTTGAAGAAGAAATAAACTCCTCGGGGCATTTATTCGAGGGAGGCGTTTATTCCAAATGAGGCTCAAGGGGGACATTTATTCGAGGGGGCGTTTATTCAAAGAGGGGCGTTTATTCAAATAACTATGGTATGTAATTTTAGAAACTGTCTGTGTTGAGACACCTGAACAAATAAATTTTATATTTTGATAGCTTGCTCTCTATGATTTGAGTAAATTGTTAGCTTTGAATTGAAAATTAGAATGATAAAAAATATTTCCTTTACCAAATTACGTAAATAATTCTGCTCTTCTTTGAATAGACCCAGAAGTAAATCAGCAAAATCTAAAATACATTGTTTTAACCTGTACCTTATTGTTAGTTGATAACTTATTTGAACTTAAATTCAAACAATTCCATCTGGTTTCTATGCTAAAATAGGTAAGTAGAACAAAGCTTTTAAGTGACACCAAATGTGTGTTTAAATGACGGGTCAAAAACGTCACATAAAATGCATACTAATTTGGTTTACTTCACAAATTGTTCTACTTATTTATTTGGTCTTTTTAAATGCAAATATATAAATACACACACACATATATATATATATATATATATATATATATATATATATATATATATATATATATATACATATTATATATATACAAATATATATATACACAGAGGCGTATATATAATTATACATATATATATATATATATATATATATATAT